GTAAATTGAATCAATTCTTGAAGTATTTTCATCCGTTTCATGTCCGAATTAGAATTTCCTTGGATGAGGAAGTTGTATGGTATTGCGACGGCTTTTAAAGATGCGAAATATATGGATATGGTCAAGTTTACTACTTGTAAATATCGCATTAGTTTATTCATGTTGTAGGTCATCTCTGCTTCTTCCATTAGGTTCGTAGACATCAGCTGTAAAGAATTCTCATTGGTAATATGAAGCGTAGAAACACGGTCGTTCTTTGGCATTCTTGGATAATCGAAAGTTGTGGGGTATCGTTGGTACCATAAGTCGTAGAAATCGGCTCGGTCTTTCTCATCCCTGAATGAAGGAGTTGTGTGGTATTGCAAGGACTTAAGGTTTATCCCAAGGTAATACCACTCAGAAAGTAGTCCCAATAGATTTTCGGAATTTATTGTAAATGGCTTAATTTGTTAAATTTAGAGACACAAATGCATCACATCAGCCGTCATATGACCCACCCTTTTTTCTTTCCACTTGTTCATGTCAATTAGCCCACCCTTCGTTTATTCCACGCGTCCGCGTTAATTGACCCACCCATTTTTCATTCCATCCGCCCGTGTCAGTGAGCCCACCCTTTAATTATTCTCTCTGTCCGTGTCAATTTACCGACCCTTTTTTTCATTTCACCCGTTCTAGTCGGTTAGCCCACCCTTCGTTCATTCCACCCGTGCGTATTAGTTGGCCCACCCATTTTTCATTCCACCCGCCCGTGTCAATGAGCCCACCCGTCAATTATTTCCCCTGCCCGTGTCAATGAGCCCACCCGTCAATTATTTCCCCTGCCCGTGTCAATTTGCCCACCCTTTAATTATTCTCCCTGTCCGTGTCAATTTGCCCACCCTTTTTTTCGTTCCACCCGTCCCTGTCAATGAGCCCACCTTTCAATTATTTCCCCTGCCCGTGTCAATTTGCCCACCTTTCAATTATTCTCCCTGTCCATTCAATTTGCCCACCCATTTTTCATTCCACCCGCCCGTGTCAATGAGCCCACCCGTCAATTATTTCCCCTGCCCGTGTCAATGAGCCCACCCGTCAATTATTTCCCCTGCCCGTGTCAATTTGCCCACCCTTTAATTATTCTCCCTGTCCGTGTCAATTTGCCCACCCTTTTTTTCGTTCCACCCGTCCCTGTCAATGAGCCCACCTTTCAATTATTTCCCCTGCCCGTGTCAATCTGCCCACCCTTCAATTATTCTCCCTGTCCGTGTCAATTTGCCCACCCATTTTTCATTCCACCCGCCCGTGTCAATGAGCCCACCCGTCAATTATTTCCCCTGCCCGTGTCAATGAGCCCACCCGTCAATTATTTCCCCTGCCCGTGTCAATTTGCCCACCCTTTAATTATTCTCCCTGTCCGTGTCAATTTGCCCACCCTTTTTTTCGTTCCACCCGTCCCTGTCAATGAGCCCACCTTTCAATTATTTCCCCTGCCCGTGTCAATCTGCCCACCCTTCAATTATTCTCCCTGTCCGTGTCAATTTGCCCACCCATTTTTCATTCCACCCGCCCGTGTCAATGAGCCCACCCGTCAATTATTTCCCCTGCCCGTGTCAATGAGCCCACCCGTCAATTATTTCCCCTGCCCGTGTCAATTTGCCCACCCTTCAATTATTCTCCCTGTCCGTGTCAATTTGCCCACCCATTTTTCATTCCACCCGCCCGTGTCAATGAGCCCACCCGTCAATTATTTCCCCTGCCCGTGTCAATGAGCCCACCCGTCAATTATTTCCCCTGCCCGTGTCAATTTGCCCACCCTTCAATTATTCTCCCTGTCCGTGTCAATTTGCCCACCCTTTTTTTAGTTTCACCCGTTCTAGTCAATTAGCCTACCCTTCGTTCATTCCACCCGCCCGTGTCAATGAGCCCACCTGTTAATTTTCTCCCTCCCCACGTCAATTAATCCACACGGAGAGAAATGTTCAGTAAAAATTACGGAGCTCACATTTCGCTCATGGACTACGGAATCGACTCACAAAATTTAAGTGACGGTATCGTAATTTTTCACAGGAGATTCAGATAAAAATTACGGAACGCTCTGGAAAAATTCCGTGACAGTTCCGTAAAATTTCCTGCAACCACATTTTTCTCCGGAATTACGGAAAAGATACGTACTTTTTATTGAATATTTCTCTCCGTGCACCTTTTTATTATTACAAACCTCCTTTCGTAGCCACCCAGACACATTCATAGATTCATATATTCATCGATATTTTATATTTGGATATCTGTATCATCCAAATAGAAAATATTGGTGAATATAAGAATCATTAGTATGCATGACAATTTCAATTCTTTTATAATAATGATTGGTTTCCGTTTGAAAAGTCGGCCTCGAGATTGAGCCTAATCAATATTTTCTTGTTAAATCTTTGGACATTTATTGGAAGCTATTCTTGAGTGGCGGGAATTCCGTTTGCCTTCATTTATTCGCAGAAATATGAGTTAGTGCCAACTTTGTTGAAACCCAACTCGAACATTCAGCGAATCATTTGTTTTTCACTGCATCTTTTAAAGCTGGTTCGGAGCAAGTCTCGAGTAAAAATTGATTACCAGCGTTGTTAAACAAATTAGGAATGATCTTCAGAAGCAGCGGCACGTAGATCGTTCGTGCCATTTATTGTTCTTTATTAATTACTGCCAACTTTGTTGAAACCCGTCTCGAAAATTCATCGAATTATTTGTCTTCTCCTGCATCTTTTAAAGCTGATTCGGAGCTAGTTTCGAGTTGACAATTGGTTCTTTATTCGCATATCCATACCAACGTTGTTAAAAAAAGTTATGAATGATCTTCAGAAGCAACGGCAGGTAGAGAGCCTCCGTGGTACCTATTGTTATTTATCTCCGTAACTATCCAAATAATCACAAGCAAGAAATAATTAAATACGTTTTTTCATACCATCAAGTTCTTTATTGTACTTGAAATCATAACATCTGTCTACCGATATCCGTCACTCTCTCGTTTCTGGTTGCAGTTCTCCGAAGAAAGTGAGTCCTCCCGACGACTCAAACGTCTGGCGAGAATCTTCTTTAAAAAAGACATCCCCTCTGTCAGAGAAGAAATTAGATCTAAAATTGGATGGCGAATGATTGACATTTTAATGTCTCCTAGTCGATTGTCATCAAATTAAAAATACTCGTTGCATAAAACTTGCAAGTCGTTCTGTCGAAAGCAAGTTAAAGTTCATTGAGTTACCCAAGTGTTGATCAGGTGGTTGTCGTTTAGGGTCTTCTATTGGGACCCGTCACATCGCCACTTCCTCGTAGTGGGTCCCGGGTTAAAAGCTAAGAGCGATGTTTCCCATTATTTTAGATCAGTTGAGCGTCATAAGTTCATCTGCCGCACCTCAACCAAAATCATTTGAGTATGACCATAAATTGTGTGCATCAATGGTTCTTTCTCTATTGCCCCATCCCTATTTTCATTTTTAGTTCTACGTTCAATTCTCCTGATAAAAATTTTTTTGCTATTCTCCTTTGCATAAATTTACAACATTATCGTGTTTCTCAAATGTATTAACCGCAGAATGGTGCAGAAAAGTAAATCTAAAATATGTTACATGAAAAGCTGGAAGAGGGAGCGAGTGGAACTAGTGAAGCGATGTCTTGTATAACCGGTAGAAATTACTTTTTGGGGACACTCGAAATTACCTTCCTCTATCTTACCTTAGTTAATACTACCGTCCGTCTTTATTATCAGTAGCATTCATCCGTCACGACAGCTGGCAAAGCCAATCACGCTCCATCGATAAGAATGGCACTCACCGATAAAACCGCCTTCCGTCCTTCTCGAGATGTCTCCGCAGTTACCCATATTTTCAAATCCCCCATTTTTCAAGACCGCCATATCCAACTAATCCAAAAATACCCTCCTCAGACCGGATAAAACAATTCACCTTACCTCATTCCATTCAATCCAATGCCTAATAATTTTATTCATCCCCAGCGATTCATTGACTCTCCTATCCTACCGGATAAAATACATATTTATCATATTCAGAGCCCACATCTCTCGTCTCCCCGAGAACCCACAGCGTCCGTGTCGTACTCTCGAACATTTCTAAAAGTAACTCGTTGACTCCGTCGTCATGATCTAGTTTATAGGTACCATTACTAAAATAAAATAGAGGGTTACATTCTTCGCTCGTTGCATACATAATCCACAATTGTCGGTTAAACAATCGAGTGTCATACAGCCATCAACAACAGCTCCAAAAATGCAATTATCAGTCCTGAAAAATCAGCTAAAAACCCATTGAAAGGCCTCGGGAGTAAAAAAAAAACCTACTAAAATGTGGGTACACTTTGCGCCATGAATTTTCAGCCAAAGAGGGATCGTAAATCCGAAACATGACTGAAAAAATATATTCTTTTTGTAGAAACCGAATGACTGCAGTCGAGGGTGATCGAAGAGAATAAATAATTTCACGAAACTTTTAAAGATACGAGGTGGGAGCGCCGCCATCTTGCTGGGATACTCCTTTCTCTGCCGCAAGGGGGTTTCAAGATGGCGGCGCTCGTATCTGTCAACCACCTCGTACTTTTAAACAATTCTGAAAATTATTTATCCTCATTAGATCACCTCCAGCTCGTTTCATCAGGTTCCCAGAAAGGGAACAATTCTTTCCTGCTACCCTCCAATTTTTTCACTACTTTTTAACTGAGAATTCATGACGTAAAATTTTTTTCAAGTGAACCCCTCTCAGTAGATTGGTTCACTCATGAGGCCTCTCAATATACAACTTTGTTCTCCTCTCAAATATTCATTTACCTTCGGAACTGAACCCTCTCAAAATACAAAATATTAGTAGTAATAGTGTGTCCAGAGCAGCCAGTTCCCATGCCTCGTAATTATCACCTCAACCTATCCAAAATTCCCCCCCGTTAACCCCTGAGTCAAACTCAACCCGAGAAATCACAAATCAGGAAGGGGTAATATGGGATGCGCGAGGGAGGTGGGGGGGAAGAGCGAAGAGGAGCATCGAGAGGTCTGTGGGAGTCGCACTGGTACTTCCGTGGCAATCGCATCTTGAGAAATAAAAAGGCGGACTGGGAGAGCGATTACATCAGGTATGTGAGAACAACAGAATAAATTAATTGCCTCACGCTTGATCCACCGATGCATGCCGCATCGATCGATCTATTTATCGATCCACGACAACAACCGTTTATTAACCGATAGCTAGATGCGATTGTGACAATTCAGTGGTGAGCACCTGAATTATTCTGACCCTTCGCGTGATCGTCACGAATAACTCGATAAATCAGTTTAATTGAGCGATTTATTCCAATTAATTTGGATGTTTTAATTTTTGTAATCGATATCACCAATTTGAAAACCCCCAGCCGGGCCAAATCTGGCAACACTCGCGTCTTCTCGCGCTTTGTCTCGTTCGTTAACACTGTTGCGTAATACCTGAAACAGTTTCAATGACCAGGCGTGATAAATTTCTTGAGGTAGTAAATCAGGGAATGAGAGATTTAAGAGATCAATTATCGATTAGGATCGAGTGGGGTGTAATCGCCAATATCTCGTCAATGGCAGAGTCGAATTTCCCGATTTTTTTTTTCATTTTCAAGGTATTTTTGGGGGCTTCAAAATGAGCGCTGACTTTTCCAAATCGCTTCGTTCAATCAGGAGTTATTGGCGGTGGAAAACGATTTGATTTCACTCTTCTCTAATTGACGTTTTGTGAAATTACAAGTTCTAGCCGTCGATATGTCGATAACGGCAGAGTCGAATTTTTCGATTTTTTTTCATTTTCAAGGTATTTTTTTGGACTTCAAAATGAGCGCTGACTTTTCCAAATCGCTTTGTTCCATCAGGAGATATTGGCGATTGAACACGATTCTGCTTCACTAGTCTCTAATTGAGATTCTGTGGAATTCTGGTGTATGTTGGGATAATAAATCGAAATGATCGTTCGGGCGATGAATCATTCGAGAAATTGGAGGTGTTGGGGCAATCAGATGAGTGTCAGTTTTACTTGTAGGGGTTATTAATTGGGGAATTTCTTGGCTAATGACTATGTCCGCCTACTTTGGATGATGCATCACTGCGCGGGTTGTTTTTGGCAGGGAGGGGGTGCCCAAGGGCACGTGTTCCGGGACGATTCCAGACACGTGGAAACTTTAAATAGAATTGATAATATGGAAAATATGCGAGGGTAAAAATCCACTGGAAAATTTTGTCAACAATTTTTTTTAAATTTACGTGAACATTAAATGAAATTAATAGTTGGACACAACTTGAATAATTTGAATGAACAGTTTATTTCGTTCCAATATGATTAAATATATTACTGTATTATTTATATTATTAACTATAAATATTATTAAATATTCGGTCAGCTATTGTAATTAATAATGGCTTTATTTGGGTCAAGAAAACGCTTATTTTCATTTAAAAAACTTTTCGTTTTGTTTTTTAAAAAAATTAGTTGAAGTTTGGATAAAGTCAATCAAATTCTCTGGGTGTGAAGAGTTAATTGAGTGGATTTATTTTATAATTACTTGGTAGGATGGGGGTTTTATTGTTGGCTGTTGTATTTACAAATTTCTTTGTGTTATGCTGAACTGAAAACGCAGAATTTCACGGACACAAAATTAGATGTGGTCTATTTTAACGGCCTGGGGAGGAGCGCTCGCATTGCCACGAGTTTCCGCGGTAGCATAAATCTCGAAGAATTAAAAAATGAAATAGTCTGTTCATGCTAAAATTTTTTTGAAGGTTTTGGTGAATATCTTGAGTGTAAAAACAATTTTTTTGACAATTTTGGTTTCATCTAAAAAAGACTGCATAACTCAAATGTTTTCCGAAAGGTAATGTTTGCTCCACTGAAAAATAAATCAATTTCACTCACTCAAAATTGATATATTGAAGATAAAAAAAATAGACGAGTTTTTGGAGAAAATCTAAAAATTTCAATAAAACTCGGAAAATAATTATTTTTCATCTAAAAAAATCTTCACAGCTCGAAAACCTTCCAAAAATTTATTTCTCTTCAATCGAAAATAATTCAATCAATTGGAGAATATCTCAGTAATTTGAGTAAAAACAATTTTTTCAAATTCACTTTCAACTGTAAAAAATCCGTAACTGATATATTTTCTAAAAACTAATTCTATTTAATTGAAAAGTAGATTTGACCCTGAGGAAGAGCACGGAGGAAATTATTTGCTGAATTTCACCAACTAGTCGGTCAAATTTAACAACTAATTGATTAAAATGCAAGAGATTTTTCAATTTCATTCGACAACCATCTGTTAAATTTTCAAAAAACGTTCGTCGATTTATTTGATGGATCAAATTTAACAAGGAATTGTAGATCATTGCGAAAATATCTTCTAGGGGGGACATTGATCGATTGTCAAGATATAAATGATTGCGGGATTGTTTCCAAATGTACATATGCCCTCACCATCTGCCTTGCAGAGAAAATTGATTGAATTTATTGAACTAGAGGAATGGTAGCTTCTGTAATTTTTTCCTCCAGAAAATGAAACATGCGTCCATCAAATAATTGACGAACATCTGACGAATAATTGATGAAATTCACCAAATAATTTTCTTCGTGATCCTTTCTGCACTCGAAATATTGGCTATTACTTTTTAATTAAATGGTGTTAGTTATTATTGGGTAGGAACGCAGAATGGAGAATGTAAGAGGTTTTATTTAATAATTGGAAACGGTTGAAAAATCATTAATTAAGAAAAACCTGTTTTCTAGGGATCCTACACTCGGAAAATATCGCCAGCGACAAAATAATTTTTCTCTCTTGCCTCCCGGAATTGTATGTGGGGAAACGTAATTTTTACGGTCCACACAGAGAAATATTCAGTAAAAATTACGGAACTCACAATTCGCTCACCGCTTACGGAATCGACTCAGAAAATTTAAATGACGGTATCGTAATTTTTCACATGAGATTTAGATAAAAATTACGGAACGCTCTGGAAAAATTCCGTGACAGTTTCGTACAATTTCCTACAACCACATTTCGCTCCGAAATTACGGAAAAGATACGTAACTTTATTGAATATTTCTCTCCGTACATAAAACGGAGAGAAATATTTCACTACCTGGAGAATATCATGAACATTATCTCCCAAAAACCTGGGAAAATCGTAAGAAAACCCAGTTTCCTACCGATCCCCCTAAAAAAATAGAAATTCGTGAAAACACTCAATTTTATTTTGACAAAACCCCAAATATATTCTTACCCCGGTGCAAAAACCCTATTACCACGACAATAAAACAAAAATAACCCCTCTCTGCAATTCCTAGATGCTCCTGGCATTGCAACTAAAATCCTCAAATAGCTGCACTCACCCTGAGATAAACCCTCGAAATAAAAATAAACAAAATAATTGCAGGTAACCAAAGTAGCCCATCAGCTGCTGAGCCTCAGCATCCAAGTGGTCGATAAAAAACCTCGCAAATAATTTAAAAAAAATAGAAATGTCGAGACCAATACTGAGCAGGCCACGTACACGTGTGTATGGCTGCAATTACGACAAGGGTGAGTCGTACTACAAGCCAATGGTGGATCATCTCGATCGTAAATACAGCGGAAGGCCACTATTCCCGGAAGCTAGGACATCACTAGCCGATGAGATTGCAGCGAGGCGTAGCGACATCGGTAACATCTTCAGTCGTTTTCCAAAATGGTTTTGAGAAATGTCGAGCATTATGATGTCACCCCCTTACGATATTCCTTGCACAAAATTCCCCACCCCCCCTGTTTTTCCCCAAAAGAACAAAAACAAGATATATATTTTTGAAAAATAGATTTATTTTGAAAGATGGATTTTAAGGAATGACGTTTTTCTTTTCAATCTGGCAAATTTCCATTCAATCCCACGCGAAATTGTCTTTTTTTTCTGTTCATCCACAACCTCTGGCTGGCATGACACCTCCACACCCCCAGTATCCTCTCGAGTGCATCCAATATTCGTCGGAATGGTTTTTTCTCGTCTTTTGCCTCTTGTTGCATCCAGCCAAATTAATCTCAACGATGTGAAAACAATTGGGAATGAGAGTAGTTGGAGTCTATCTTTTTAGAGGAATTTCGTTAATACTGTTGTTGTCCATAATCATTGTACAAAAATTTTGATTGACTGTTCAATAAATTGATTTCTTGAATTTTTCTAAATGATATGGTTTAAATGGAGTCAGTTGCGTATTTGGAGAACCCTTTCTACTTTTTTTATGGAGACGATAGGTGGAGGTGATTGGTTGAGAAATCGAGAGAGAGAGAGAGAGAGAGGTGCGTCCATGTGCACTCAAATGTGTTAAATGATTTTTAAATTGTCTCGGTTATGAGTAGTTGTAATTTTTGGGGGGAATTTAATTCTCTTCAGACGAGATTTAGTGTTCTTCCAGCTCGACTCATTATCGAGATGATTCGAGAATTAACTAGGTGAATTCGGCGAAGTGGTGGAGCAGGAATTGACTTGAGGATGAATTTTAGATGTGCAATGAGAGAAAAATCTAGTTCTGAGAAAAAAATCTTTTGTCGTGTTGAATCAATTTATTTGGGGACAAAAAAATTTCCTTGTCTGTATTTTTTTTCAATAGAAATGTTCAATAGAAAATATTCCACAAAAAAAATCAATAGATTTTATTTTTTATACAGCTTATTTTATTGAGAAATTTTGTATAGAAATTCCTCCGCTCAATTTTTCATATCTTTTGTTGGATTTTTTTTATGAAAAAAGAAAAAAGTAATGTGAGAAAAAATCAGAAAATTTATGCCGAGGAATCTCTGCAAAAAATGTCTCAATGGAAAAAATTGTATGGAGAGATGAAATTCTACTGGGTTTTTCTAGAAAATAGCTTCTACTGAATATTTTTTACGAAGAATTCTTCAATAGAATCGACCGGAAACTAATATAATTTTCAATAGAAATTAAGTCAATTAAATTTTTTCAAGTGTGTGTGTTTAAATCGAGCGGAGGTGGTGAAATCTTAAAATTAAATTTCACTCCGTCATGAATTTTCAATGCATATCTCTGCACATAAGAGAGTCCACGAGAACCTTTTCTCTAGCTCTCACACGGAGCATAAAAAATGCGGAAAAGACATCACAAAATCATAAAAGCCCCATAAAAATAGCGTTGTTCGACGTCATTGTGATGTGTCGCTGCGGATTTTAATAAATCACTTTTCTCCGCGCGAGTTTTTACAGTGTCATAAAAATTACGCTTCACAATAAAAATTACATTTCCCCGCATAAAATTCTTAGAACTCCAGAGGGAAAAAGGATTTTTAGCTCCCGATATTTTTCGAGTTTGCGATATATCCCTAAAAAACAGTTTTTTTTCATAAATCATTTTTCAACGGCTTCCAATATAAAATAAAACTCCTCGCATGAGGTATTCTGCGGTCATATCCGGCAGTAACTAACACCATTTAATTGAAAACTGTTAGCCAATATTTCGACTGCGGAAAGCACTCCTCCTCAGGGCCAAATTTAAATATTGGCTACTAGTTTTCAATTAAATGGTATCAGTTATTGCTGGATATGACCGCAGAATGGCCCATGGAAGATTTTTCTTCCGATTGTCCCCATGTTGTTCATAGATAATGTTTAGAATATTCCCCAGTTACTGAAAAAATTTGCAACTAGCTGCACTACACAGTTTAGGAGATAATAAATCATGAAATGTGGGCTCCTAGCCCGCGAGGGATAGGCCAAACGGGGGTTATGGCTCCCCCGACCTCGATTTTTCCATTTTATATAAAAAAACGGTTCTTACCATGTTCTTAAAAAACGAATTCGTGATAGATCGACAAATTCCGAATATAGTGAATTTTTTAAAAATTTTTTCGTCCCCAGTTTCTGCGATATTCAACTCTAAAGAATAGAAATTTCGTGAAATCATTTTTTGTTTGATTCAACCAATAAATTAAAAACTAATTCCGTATTCGATTCAAACAGTTATAGCTGCCTTCATCGCTAACATATGAGAATCGAAAACCTCAATAACTTATAAGAATGCGATAAATCAAGTCATTTAGAATTTTTTTGGAAATCCATAGGGACTAACTTTCGGCCGGTACTGTCTTGGGATACACCTTAAGGGGTAACAGAAGGCCGTGTCCTCGAAATTCTCAAACAAATTTTCTGCTCAAACTTATTAGTATTTTTTTGACCCAAAGCACCTTGATCTTCATCATCACCTCCTGGAGATTAATGTGCTTCGATCTGTAAAAATATCGATAACTTTGGACAAGAAATTTGTTCAAAAATTTGGAAAATGAGCCGCATTCTGTTACCCCTTAAACCTAGAAATTCCCGAAAGAGCGTGTCGCATCACTTTTCCGTTGGGTTACGTAATTTTCCCTGAAGTTTTTTCTCCATGCATTCCTCTCTCCGGAAAGATCCATCAAAAACACCTGCCAAAATGGCATCTTTTCCCGCTCTCAGATGCCCCAACAATCCCAAAACCCCAAAAAAACGAGAGAAAGAGAGAGAGAGAGATAAATGCCGAAAAAACCTACAACCTAATCGGTTCAATTAACCCGCCCCCCAGTCCTCTCTTTTTTTCACCTATGAATGTGTACATGTCTCTCCTATCGGTTTTTGCAGGCAGCCGAGACTTGTCGGGGCCTAGAGCGAGCACCTACGCACGTGACCTTGACCTCGAATTTGATACACCTCGACCCCGCACCCTCGCCCCACCCCCGCACGAGGAAGACGAGGATACAGTGTACGACATACGCGGACAGCGTACGAATCGTCGTAACTTGTCCGACGATTTTGCAAGCGAAGTTGCCGCAACAACAAGACGCTTCAAAGCCCACGCAGCAAGTCTGAGTTACGACAGTGAGCATTACGACGATTTGCGGCGAAATGCGATCGATCGACGCCAGGAGGTGATGGAGAAATTCACAGAGTCGGCGAAGAATGCCCTGGAGGAGGCGGATGTCGCCTTCAAGAGGCGCTCCAAATTGCTGAGCGACGCGGAGGGCGAGCGCAGCGCCGCCATGACGCGGTGGTCGAAGCTGGCGGATGTCGAGACCGAGTCATCGGGCGCTGCATCACGCGCCCGCCAGACCAAGGCCCGGCTGAATGACCTTGAGAGTGAAATGGAGGAGATGGCGGAGAGGCAAGCCAAACGCGAACGACGCGCTGCTGCCCTCAGGGCCCTTGTCAACGAGTCCGCCTCGTGCGACGATTTTGTTCAGGAGTCCGTCAAGAAGACCCTCAAGAGCAGCGAGAAGCACGTGTCCTTCTAGGATTATTTCTAACATCCTTTCGTCTTCCTGTTCTATTTATGTTATGGCGTCCTCTCATCTCTCTCTCTCTCTCTCTCTCTCTCTCTCTCTCTCTCTCTCTCTCTCTNAAGCACCTTGATCTTCATCATCACCTCCTGGAGATTAATGTGCTTCGATCTGTAAAAATATCGATAACTTTGGACAAGAAATTTGTTCAAAAATTTGGAAAATGAGCCGCATTCTGTTACCCCTTAAACCTAGAAATTCCCGAAAGAGCGTGTCGCATCACTTTTCCGTTGGGTTACGTAATTTTCCCTGAAGTTTTTTCTCCATGCATTCCTCTCTCCGGAAAGATCCATCAAAAACACCTGCCAAAATGGCATCTTTTCCCGCTCTCAGATGCCCCAACAATCCCAAAACCCCAAAAAAACGAGAGAAAGAGAGAGAGAGAGATAAATGCCGAAAAAACCTACAACCTAATCGGTTCAATTAACCCGCCCCCCAGTCCTCTCTTTTTTTCACCTATGAATGTGTACATGTCTCTCCTATCGGTTTTTGCAGGCAGCCGAGACTTGTCGGGGCCTAGAGCGAGCACCTACGCACGTGACCTTGACCTCGAATTTGATACACCTCGACCCCGCACCCTCGCCCCACCCCCGCACGAGGAAGACGAGGATACAGTGTACGACATACGCGGACAGCGTACGAATCGTCGTAACTTGTCCGACGATTTTGCAAGCGAAGTTGCCGCAACAACAAGACGCTTCAAAGCCCACGCAGCAAGTCTGAGTTACGACAGTGAGCATTACGACGATTTGCGGCGAAATGCGATCGATCGACGCCAGGAGGTGATGGAGAAATTCACAGAGTCGGCGAAGAATGCCCTGGAGGAGGCGGATGTCGCCTTCAAGAGGCGCTCCAAATTGCTGAGCGACGCGGAGGGCGAGCGCAGCGCCGCCATGACGCGGTGGTCGAAGCTGGCGGATGTCGAGACCGAGTCATCGGGCGCTGCATCACGCGCCCGCCAGACCAAGGCCCGGCTGAATGACCTTGAGAGTGAAATGGAGGAGATGGCGGAGAGGCAAGCCAAACGCGAACGACGCGCTGCTGCCCTCAGGGCCCTTGTCAACGAGTCCGCCTCGTGCGACGATTTTGTTCAGGAGTCCGTCAAGAAGACCCTCAAGAGCAGCGAGAAGCACGTGTCCTTCTAGGATTATTTCTAACATCCTTTCGTCTTCCTGTTCTATTTATGTTATGGCGTCCTCTCATCTCTCTCTCTCTCTCTCTCTCTCTCTCTCTCTCTCTCTCTCTCTCTTTCTCTCTCTCTCCCACACACAAGTACACTCAGAGGAAAACCTAAACGTAATCGTATATTTCGTCACTTCTGCGTGAAGTGAAATTGTACGTAATTTATGTTTGGGTTTTCCTGTGTGCACTCTTTCAATCTTTAAAAATTAAGGGGTAAATCGGACCGTTTTTAATAATCGATAAATGCGAATCGGCGCAGGGAATTTCGATTTTTTTCCAATTTGAAGGTTTTTTGGGGGTTTGAAATGAGCCTTGATTTATTGAAATTGTATCGTTTGGCCGGCAGTTATCGAGGGTTTAAGGAGGTCCGTTTTACCTCGTCTTTCCCTACAGGGGGCCTATTCTCGAGTTGTGTGAAGATACTTTCACATGCGAAAGCCGACGTTTCACAGGGCTCGGATCTTCAGGGCATTATTTTGTGCCTTAATAATTTCGTTTAAATTTCACTAGAGACTTTTGCTTCACATGTGAATATTTTTCGTCGATGAATGTCAATATTCACACAGCATTTCGTTCGTAGTGATTCACACACCGCTTCGTCCGTCGTCTTTGGAACACATCGAAGAGTAGATATCTCTGTAAATTATCCATTTTTGCAAACCATGACAATAGCCACATTTTTTGTTAAACTAAATGACGAAAAGAAAGGTGTTAAGACAAATGTTGTGTTGGCACTGGGAGACGAAAAATCCGTTGACAAAGAATATTCACCTGTGAAAGTATCTTCACACAACTCGAGAATAAGCCCTCACGTGTCCACCTAATACTCAGCCCCGGCGGGGCGAAGTTAGGGAGATTTTACTGTATTTTCTTCTTTCTTCATGATGATGTCACGTGCGAAAAAAATTCGTAGAAAAACCTGGAGAATTCGCAAGGGAATTCTATTGGATTCCTATTGACATTTCTATTAGTTTGTTTGCGGGGTTTTTTAATAGAAGGGTTTAATGGAAAAATTCTATAGGAACAATGAAGAGAATTCGATTCTTCTGTACAACTTATTCCATAAAAATTTCTCTTGGGAAAACTTGGGAAATTCATGGCGAGAAATTTCTACAGAATTTTTAGTGTCTCAATAGAAAAGTTGTATAGAGAGATGAAATAAGTGATTATTCTGCTGATTTTTTCCATAAAATAATTTCTATTTGACATTTTTTATAAAATGCGCGCAGTCAAGCTGCGGAATTCTTCAGTAGACTCGACCGGAAGCAAATGGAATTCTCATTAAAAATTCAATAGAAATCCAATCTAATTTTCTATCGAGTTCGCTAGGTTTTTCTATGAAATTCTTTCACGCGAGGAGATGAGTTATCCTGAATTCCAGGCTTGATATATGTACGATGATCCTACCTGTTCGTGTGTACACATTTGTCCCATTTCGTCTTTACGATAAATAAATGACTGGTTATGGAAATGATCCGATGGTGTTGTTTATTATTACGGTGATGTGATCCTGAAGCACGTGCATGGGTTAGATGTAGAGATAGGTACGTTTTTAGATTTTTTTATTGGGAGGAGGTGGGAGGAACAGAGGGTAATGATGAACAATTTTAGGATCGAGAAGTTTGTCAGGAGCGATGGGCGAGCTGTTTGACGACGACATGGATAACTTGTGGGAGGGGTATGGTAGACCGATTGCTGAGGAGGAGGTCGAGGAGGGCTTTGTGCCTCTTCAGCGGAGGTTCAAGCAGCGACAGGCTGAAACCTTCGAGGAGGAATTGGCGGAGTTGAGGCGGAAGCGGAGGGATCTTCAGGTATGTTCGGGGAGTGGGACGAGTTCGGTTCGGTTGGGTTCCGGTAGAGAAGACAGGCCACAGAAAGTCTAAGGTCACGGCTGGACCGCTATAACAATTAATTGAAAGAAAAACGTAGATTTCTAAAAAAAACTAGGTGGCCCCCATCTTGCTTAAATCCTTCCTGCCTCTGCCGCCCGGAGCTTCAAAGATGGCGACGCTCCCATCTCGTGTTTTTAAACATGTTTAAAAACTATTTATAATTTTCAATTCCTGCGCAACTCGCTCCATCCGATTTCTGTAGTGGGAATAAACTTTTTAAGCCATCTTTCAGATATTTCCATGCCCTTTTGGCTGGCAACACATGACGCAAAATTTTCCCCGCACCAAATTCTCAATAAAATTTTTTGTTTGGAATAGCTCAAAAGCTCATTATTAAAGCATTAATCTCATTTCACTCTTCACGAATGCAATAATTCCACAGAAATCACTGCTCGACTTGTTCTCAGGATCGTCTCTTCGATATGGTGGACATCGGCGCCGAGATTGAGCGAGCGAAACAAACCCTAGGCAACTCGAATCTTGCCTTCGAGAGGCACGCCCTCAAATTCGATAATAAAGAGATACCCGAGGAGGAGCCCACGAATTTGATCGCCCGTTTGGAGAAATCACGGAAGCTGCAGCAGAGCCGAGAGCAGAAGACGGAGGAGCCGCCACTGATCAAGTGGTCTAAGTACGCGGAAATGAGGAACGACTTGCCGAGGCTCATTGGCGACAAGATTGCGCCCAGAGTAATGAGCCTAGACTTACCGATCCCTCAGGTCGCCCCCGAGGGGACTGTCAATCGAGATAAGCCGACGGAAAAACGACGCAAGAAGCGCTCGCTACTGAAGCGCAAGAAATCAGCTGGGCTGTAGATTATAAATTGACTTTCATAATTATCTCGGTAATGAGTGGAGTTACAAGAAAACAGTAAAGGAACTTTTTGTAGGGAATTTGATTCTCTAGAAAAAGTTTCTTATGGTGTTTTCTCGTAACACCAATCATTAACGAGATATTTGAGTAATTTTGTAGGGAAGGGGTAAAACGTTTACATGAAAAACTCAATTCACGTCAGATTGAATACTTGATTATCTCGATAATGAATGTAGATAGAAGAAAACACTAGAGGAACTTTGTATGCAGAATTCAACTTTCTATAAAAAAGTCCTCTTGTGTTTTCTTGTAAAATCGATCGTTAACGGGATAATTGAGTGATTAGGTTGAGAAGCGGTAAAGCGCAACAAAAAAAGGTGATGCACATCATATTTAATGCGTGATTATCTCGATAATGAGGGGAGGTACAAGAAAACACTAGAAGAACTTTTTGTAGAGAATTTAGTTCTCTACAAAAATTTCTTATTGTGTTTTCTCGCAACATCAGCCATTAACGAGATATTTGAGTAATTAGGTAGGGAAGTGGTAAAACGTTACATGAAAACCTCAATTCACGTGAGATTGAATGGTTTATTATCTCGGTAATGACTGAAGTTGAAAGAAAATACTGAAGGAACTTTTTATAGAGCATTTGGCTATATTCAATCTCAGCACAGTCCTAATTCACACAACTCAGTGGAGCGCCAAAGCCTATCGCCAAGATCGTAAAACTCTCCGCTTGAAGATCAACAATTCACGTTGAACCTGTACCCCAACAAATTGTCATAAATTTTGAATAAATGTGATTATAAACCCAGATGTTTGTATCCACCTCTCAATTACCACGCACGAAAAAAAATTATAGAAAATTCTAGAAAATTCGATAGAAAATTCTATTGAATTTGAGTTGAATTTTAATTTTTTTAAAGGAAATGTTCAAAAGAAAATATTTTTAAAAACATCAGCAGAATTTCATCGTTCTATAGAACTTTTCTACAGAAATTCCTTGACATGAATTTTTCAAGTGATCGTCACTCTATTTTTCTTTTCGTTTCATAAAAAAATCAATCAAAAAAACTACAATTACATACAAAATTACAATTTTTCTATTGAGACATTTTCCACCGAAATTTTCTGACGTGATTTTTTTTTGTATTTCTCCTCAATTTTCCTTCTTCCATTTAAAATGAAAAACCCAACAAAAAAACTTGAAAAACTTGAGCCGGGGAATTTCTACAAAAAATATTCCAACAAAATAAATCGTATGGAAAACCGAATTCTACACTGAGAGAAAAAATTACTTTTGACAAAGATGATTTGCTCGGGACAATCTCATCCTGTTGAAAGACTTGTTTCTCTCAATGGGAGAAATTCTAGAAATTGACGAGAGAATATTTTCTTGTACCAAGTAGAATGAACAGGTCAATGGCTGGACGATTAAGGAAAATTCGAGTTTCGTGAGAGGATCTAAAATAAAATCGTCACCTAAACGGGACATGATGGCTTCCACACCTTCAATAATATTTTAATTAGCGTTAGCAGAAAAATTATTTGAAGTGAACCTAAAACAACGAATAATTAAATTAATAAATAATTGAATGCAGCCAAAACCCTGAACTTCTGGGCGACCCCTAATAGAAAAAAAAATGATCCCCTGATTATCCCCGAGTAATATTATTGAAAGGTGAACTAATCAGTCCAATTTTCATTTTATTCATCGAAAATTCAATGCAAATTGAAAATTGACCTGTTTACCCAAAACCTTCTTCGTAAAAATCAGTTTTTTCTCTCAGTGCATTGATTATTTCTACAAATTTCTTTCGTACATGACTCGAAAAATTAGTAAGTAAATCAGATCACGATGTCATTGTGATTGACTTTCGAAACGTGTCACCCCAGTTTCGAAATCTCTATCAATAGCCCCGGGTGAAAAAATCTAATGGATCCCTGCAGATCGCGTCAGTCCCCTGTAACGACCAGGCGCATAAAATATGAACATTACCTGATTACCTGGCGAATGTCCAGCCCTTCACGCCCGACAAATGCAATGATCCTGATAATGCACCGGGTAATCCGATTAATCTGCGCATTGTTGACAGTCGGAGGAGCTGATTGGCCCAATTAGATATGATGGAATGGTTGTACCCTCGAAATAGACATCTCAATGCCGGACTGAAAGGGCAATGGCAAAACGGCCGAGGGGAAGGGAGACAGCGGATTTTTCAATTGCCCCCTCCACCAGGGACTGCAATCAAACGTCTCGTGGAGATAAAAACGATACATGTAGGCGGGCCAGCAGTAGTCGAGGGTGAGTTACCTGGGGAGACACCTCATTTATTCAGGGAGGTCTCGATTCCATCCGCAGGTTTGTGACGCCCAGTTTTGTGTGGTGAAGGGGTTTTTATCGGCTCTTTGAGGACAATCGGATTACGCAAGTGATGTGGAGAAGTGCCTGTTGCATAAGAGGATTTTTTTGGGAGTGCCGGGATAGGGGGAACTGACCGCTGCTTCAACCCCTCCAGTGATCGAATTAAGGGGAGACTACTGTGTGTTTTAAAAGTCGTGGGTTATTAGAGTGAGACTTTTCATACGTTGGAGATCGATTATGTAGATCTGAAAACGAGTAATTAGTGCGAAAATTTTTTTTATTATTCGTTTGCCCGAAAACGCTTAAAATGCTAAAAACAGTCCAGGGCCTCCAATTTTTGAGCTACAAAAGATTTTTCTTCAAAATTTTTGGAAAAATGTGTGACAACAATTACCAGCCAGTTTTTTGGAATTCGACTCCTACACAGCTGATTTCGTTTTTTTTTTCATATAAAAAAATTCACTATTTGTGTAAAAAATACAAAAAAAAAGAAATTTAGCTATGTAAGAGGTGAATTTTAAAAAAATAGCTCGTAATTGTTATTCCCCATATTATTCCGAAAATTTTGGAAAAAAAATCATTCGTAGCTCAAAAATTTAAGGCCCTGGACTGTGCAAAAAAATTTTTTTTGCACTAATTATTCGTTTTCAGATCTATATAATCGATCCTCAAAGTATGAAAAGTCTCACTTCAGTAACCCACGACTTTTAAAACTCACAGTAGTCTCCCCTTAATTCGCATTCTTGTCGTGGAGGAAATGCTTGATGCGGTGGAATGGGACTTTTGCCCGCTGTAATGTTCAGACACTGAGAGAGAATTTTGTTTCCCCCGACGGAGAGAAAAGTTCACTGGTAGAAGAAAATGAAATTTCGGGGACAGTTGACTAATGATTTTTAGGACAGTGACACGGAATGCGGTTTAGGGGAAAAAATATAATAAAATTTCAGGTTTCCCTGAAAATTCTGTAAAATTCCAGAATTTGAAGCGGCATAAAGACGAGAATTCCTTAATTTATTTGAATTTTTAATCTAATGTGAATATTTAGTGCCAAATTACATTGAATTTTCAGTGAAATCTGAAATTTCATGATTTTTTTCCTCCGAAATCGGATTCATTGTCACTGTCCTGAAAATTTAATAATGTATTTACAGGAATTTTCTGGTTTTTTATTTATTTTTAGGGAGAAATGAAACTGAAATTTACAATTCTCTTTGATTTTTCCACGGAATTCTGAATTTTCAATTACAAAATTCCTTGAAATGCTAGAGGTAATTAAATTCGATAAAAATTTCGAAAAAGTGCAGAGGAAATTTCAGACATAAAATTATTGATGGAATGCAGGGTAAATTTTACAGTTTCGGCGTAAATGACCCTCACGTTCAGTAAATTTTCCCGAGCCAACGGATAGAAATTCACTATTCATTCAGCACTTTTTCCGAAATATTGTGAAAAAAGTACTGAAAATCAAATTCGCTCCACGATTACTTGACTTCTTCGGTAATTTTTCTCGAACTTTTTCTCCGTGTAACGATTCCCCAAGATATCACACTTTTGTCTCAATAAATTACAATTGAATTCACCGATTCTAATTCCACGATTAGAATAATTGAGTTCAATTTAAAATACATCGAAAGCAAATTGCCAATTTATTAGCAAAAGTATATTGACTGTGCAGTGACGAAAGCCACTGCCCACATTTTTTCTATGAAATTCTTTATCAATGCGACCAGCTACGTTCGGTGAAAAGACTGCGACCACTCAAGGGTTAATAAAACCGCTACCCCTAACTCCTTAACTTTCAAATTTTTCGCTGAAATGTAGTATGAATATTTGAAAAGTTATCAAGTGACTGTTCAACTGAAATAGGCAGGACCGAATTGCAGGATCTAGTGGTCGAGTGGGTTGAGGTATGGCGGATGACGAACCAGCATGGGATTTTGAGGATGTGCCAGCACTCCCAGCGGAACCACCAGCGGAGGAAGCTCCAGCCGCCGCGGGGGGTGCTGCTCCAGCGAAGGAGGAACGGCCCAAATTAGATTATTCGGTTTTTGCCAAGGCACCGAAACCCAAGTACACGTTACATTGGGTCCGGCCCGTGATCCTTGGTTATCGCTACATTACTGATTATAGGTAATTACGAAACTAAGAAAACAATTTTTAGGGGCTAAAAAACTCGTAAAAAATAGTACAGAGTGCGCACAGAAAACGCTAAACGTAAATTATATAAGGAAGTTAAATCTTTCCCAAGAATTAAAAACTTAATTTAAAACGTAACATTCATTGATTGATTCTCACTATCGAAAATTTTGCAATGAATGCGATGAGTCAAAGACCGGAATTTACGCGGAAAAATTAACTTATCCCAAAGTCAGGCTCATCGTCATTACCGAATCTCTTCAGGCAATTTTACTACAATGATGTGATCGACTGGCTGGACAAAAGAAATCGAGGAATCGAGCGCGACCCACCCAACTGCGAGGAGTGGTCCGAGCGTGCGTTCAAGATGTACAACGCCAAGAACATCAACAAAAGTGTGAAACAGATAGCCGACTTGCGATGGATAACTTGCTACAGAACTGTGCCAAGATACTACAGTTACCACACACGAGCCTACTACAGTCTAAAGTATCAACCGATTCTCTGAGGTCACCTCCACCGAAATTTGATCAATCACTTCCTCATCTCTCCTCTCTTCTACTTCTCTCCTTCCCCCGAATTTTTACCCAACGCTGTCTCAACAATAAATAATATGAAAGTGCAAACGGAGAAGAAAGTCACATGAAAAATTGCTCTACAATCTGGGTAATTGGAGAGCGAAATTGTACGTCAGGAATTTCCATTTGAAATCAACGAAAAAAATCTGAGGTGAAGATTATTTTTTTTTCCTCATTCAGGTTTGTAAGTTGTTCGCAGGAAGAAATTGAAATTTACCGCATTTTTCACCACTTTTTACTCAATTTTTCTCGCTATTTTTCGTTGATTTTTTTTCTCCGTTTATGGACGAGAATATGACTGACTGTTACTACTCGCTGATGTATTAAATAAAATTATATTTAAATTCAACATCAAACGCATCTTGAACGAGTACAATGTCAACACTTTAATGTAGCAATGAACTGATACACGAATGGTTTCTTTTCTTCGTTTGTATTCATAATAAACAACTATGAATAACTATTATTTATAGTAAATATATATGTATGTTGTTTTTTACCTATTATTAGTTATTATTAAGTCGCGAAGCAAATCGATAGGTTTTGAAACCTCATCCTTATGATTTTTTTTTTGGGAAGTGGTAAAACGTGACAAAACAAATAATATTAATATCCAAATACAAAATTTTTTATATGAATAAAAAGAAGCTGTGACTGGATATTCCAAATGAAGTTTGAATTTTTAATTTTTTCGTCGTATTACTTTTTGCAATGAAAATGGTTATAAATAATCAACTGAAAAAAGTAGAAAAAACTACTGAAAGGCGGGGAAAACTTTGCGCCATGAATTCTCAGCCAAATGGGCGTAGAAAAATCTGGAAAATGACTTTGAAAAATTGTTCCTTCTGGAAAAATCAGGTGGAGCGAGTTGAGCGTGATCTGGAGAGGATAAATAATTTTAATAAATATTTAAAAATACGAGGTGGGGGCATCGCAATGTTTAAGATTCCTTCCGACAGAGGGCGGGAATATATAAACACGATGGCGGTGCTCACGCCTATCCGCCACCGCGTATTTTTGAATAGTGATCAAAATTATTTATTCTCTTCAGATCACCTTTAGCTCATTTCTTCGAGTTTAAAAAAAAAAAAATTCGAGCTATCCATCAGTATTTTCCATTCCCTTTTGGTGGAGAATTCATGGCGCCACGATTTCAGCAGTTTTTTTCATTCCCAAGGTTTATTAAAATCAATAGTTTTGTAAACAAAGTCTAAAACCAAAACCTTAAATTTGATTTGTCTCTTTGATAATTAATTTGTTAATTATCTCGGTGGGAAATGATTTTAGAAGAAAATGTGAAATTACATTTTTTGTGGAGAATTCAATTCCATATACAAGATGTCTTAAGACATTTTTCTTCGAAGTCGATAGTTTTCGAGATAAATCCACAAAATAAAAGGCTAAAAGTTGATTCAATCACGTTTTCCCACTCAATTGCTGAATTATTGATAATAATGTTGCGAAAATAGGCAAGAAATTCTCAATGCATCACTGGGAATTAAAAAGATGAATATTTTCAGTTAAACCACAGGTGCGCTTGGAGGTGCGCATTATTTGATTATATTTGCAATCGCCATTCATTTCACTTGAAATAAGCTTATTCGGACGAGCCAAAAAGTCTTGATGCATCTCTTGTGCCGTGTTTCCTTTTTCTTTTATTTCATTTTTCATCAGTGTGACAAAGAGGGATTTTCACATCGTCGTGAGTATATATTTAATTTTTTTTGCATAGGCACGGCTGAACATTCAACAGTTATCTAAGTATCAACTTCGTTACTTCGGATTATCGAAATAAATTGGTGAAATAGTCGGGGACAATCAAACAATTGTTGATTAAAATTAAACATTGAAAAGCTGATCATTGGTCGCCTTGACCAATGGCTAAATCTTTAATTAATCATTCAGTGATTTTTTAAATATTATTAATACGTTCGTAGTGTTTTGATTCTGTTGAATAATTCATTATTAATAAGGGAGGTCAGAGCGTTTGTTGGAGAGAGGTCTGGAATAGCAGAGCGACGATTCGGGGATATATTCGCCGAAAAAAAATGGAAAAATCTGAAAAATGGCTTAAAAAATTTGTTCATTTTCCAGAAACCGGATGATACGAGTAGAGAGTGATACGAAGAGGGTAAATAATTTTAAGAAATGTTTAAAAATACGAGTTGGAGGCGCCGCCATTTTGAAAGCCCTTTGCGGCAGTGGAAGGAAGCATCCAAGCAAGATGGCGACGGCCACACGAATCAACCACCTCGCACTTTTGACCATTTCTAAAAATAATTTATTCTCTTTAGAATAACTCTAATTCATTCCATCCAGTTCCTAAAAACGGAACCAATGTTTCAAGCTATGATTTAGATTTTGACCCCTTTTGGCGGAGAATTCATGAGATGACATCACGTGCGAAAAAGTTGAATTGAAAAAACTATGCAACTGTCTTGTTATTTTTCAATGGATATTTCATAGAGAAGAGTCAATAGGTTTTGATTTTTCTGTAATAATCGTTTCCTTGAAATTAAATGTTTTCCGAATAAAAATAAATGAATCAAGAAAAAATCTCTTCTGCACTTACAAATGCTGTGGATTTAGTAATGAATTAGTATCGGGTCAGTTCACCTCCTCCTCTCCGAATTATTCTCCCGAATCGTGGCTCAGCAACTACTCCAGCATCTCCACGGAAAACCCCTCAACCTCACAATAACTTATCATACGGAGGACAGTGGTTATTAAATTGGAATCGTTTAAAAACACATTGTAACAATAAGTCGATGATTTTTCTTCTTCATTTTTGATCGCACATGTTTACATATGGAGTACACTCGTACAACTGCACTCGCACGTACATCAAACATATCTGTAGTGTTGAGGGAAGGGTTTCAGAACTGGAGCATGAAATGTGTAATTTTGGGGTTTTTCATTGTTTGTATATTCCAGAAAACATAATGGGGCTCTTCGGGGGAATAAGTTCGTTCAAGTGGCAAGAGAAAGCTTTGTTTCAACACTCGCAGGTTTTAATAGTTAACAATTGATAATGAATATCTTGGTTTTAATCGAGTTCAAGAAATCGTTAATTTTCGTTGAATCGCGACACCTATAATTAAGCGCATTTATCTTTGGTTAGTTTCAATTTTTCAATAATGCAGTGATTTCGTTAGAAGGTTAAGTGGCCTCGGGAGTGAGAAAATGCTACTGAAATGTGGACAGAATAAAAGAATGGCTTGAAAAATTCGTTCTTTTTCTAGGAACTGGATGAAGCGAGTTGGAGGTGATCTGAAGAGGAGAAATAATTTTAATTAATGTTCAAAAATGCGAGGTGGCGGATCGGTGTAGCCGTCGCCATCTTGTTTAGACAGCCCCTCTGCCGCCAGGGGCTTTAAAGATGGCGGCGGCTCCACCTCGTACTTTTAGAATTTTTTTAGAGTTATTAATCCTCTTCAGATCAACATCAACTCACTTCATCCCGTTTTTATGAAGGGAACAGATTTTTTACGTGCATAGGTCTATGGTTTCAGTACGGGGGATCATTTTGGAAAAAAGTCTTCATGCCTGAGCACCATCTATCGGAATTCTAGACAAGTCAAATTTTTTTTTCAAATTCGAGAAAATATTTCCAGAAAATTTGTGAAAATTTTCGACTTCTCTGGGAAATTCACGATCTCCCTGAATATTCGGAGAAATTCGGTGGTTTTCTAGAACGTCCGAGAAAAACCAGCGGTTTTCCAAAATAATCTTGATTTCTCTTGAAAATTCGAGATAATACGAGGTAATATGACTTGCATCCACCAGCACGTCACATAGAAACTTTTCAAAAAAAAAAATCGGGGCTTTTCAACAACATGTGATAATTTAACTCTGAATAAACGATGCTGAACTTTTATTATTCAGTAAAGGGAAGGGAAGACCATCGACTTATCCCCGTAACTTACGGCTGTATAAGACAGCCATCTGCAATTCTTCAAGCAGTTTTTCAGATATCTCCACCCCCTCTCGCCAGAGACTTAATTTTTCCACTCCCAAGGCATCTCAACCCAATCCTCTTTCCGCCGAATTGGACACTCATTTGGTGTAAAAAGAGAATCGATGAATTAAGAAGTGAAAGGTTGAAACGTCACAAGTGTAATTATATCCTAAAATCCCTCCTCATCGCCTGTCCAGTGACATTTCACCCATTCAACTCCTGACTTTTGAAAATACAGATTATCTCGTGGCATATCAGCCAACTCAATCAATTAAAAACGACAAATAAATGAGTGCTCCACGACTCTCAACTTATCACAACCATCAAGTCCCTATAACTCCATTTTCCTTCCCCCTTTTTCCTCAAATTTTCTTGCTCTCTCAGCCGAATTCAACAGACCCCCCCGCAAAGGGTCAATCAATCATGGGCTCAGAGTGGCCATTACCAGCGTTACTTTCCACGAGAGTTCACAAGAAAACTTCTCCAATCATCGTCACCTCTATCCAAGTTAAATATGTACTCAAGCGTATTCTCCGACTTGATAAATAATCTCTTACTGATTCATCCTATTACTTTTTTCTGCTTTAATTCCTGAGGAGAAAAGGTCACTAATGACTGAATTAATTTATCCGCTCTACACTGAAAAACACGTACTTGTTATTTAGAAGACAATCGCCGTATGTATTCTCATCAGACATACGCCCCCTTTAGGGCTCAACCATATATTTTCAATCTGTTACTGGAGTTGTTGACGTCGCATCAGCCCAAGGATAAATAGGCGGTCGGCTATTTCACAAAACATTCGTGTGTATCGGAAATGTGGTCACGAGCCTTCGGATGGAAACTTTTTTTATTTATTTTGTTTTTCTACTGCAACAATTTGTTACTTTATTAAACCGCAATCAATATTCATTCCCCGAATATTTATTCTCTTCGATTACGATATTTCAACCTTTTCGTCAATAACTCGGACCAGTTTCTGTACAAGTGCGTATCAAAAAGGCCAGAAATCGTTTGATTTGTTCATATTTTTTTTATCATTCTCCAATGGAGCTAATTCGATATTAACAATTTGTCGATGCTCGAGTCGTATCAAATCATGCACGATATTTATGTTTAGTTAATCGTTTTTTTTTTTTCATCTATAATTAACGAGCGATTGTGTGATGAAGTTGTCCGGTAAATTTTCTACTTCATCACTCAATTTTAATGAGTGGTTATTTAGCTGAGAGAAACAGGAAATAATTATTTATCCTCAGTTACACATTTGATTTTCTTCAATTGTTAAAATTATTTCAATACTCTGTTTATTCATTGTTCAATTCTCTGAATATTCTTCAGTATTCTTCATCAATAGATTAAAAGACTGGATATAGGTGAGTACGACTTAATATTAATGAGCGCAAGACGAGGAGAATTTACATCTTAAGTTTTAGTAGAGAATAAGTGGGCTTTTTTTTCGTTATCGTTTCGAGAGATAGTTTCCGTAAGAACTTGAAAGTGCAACATAAAATTTTAGTCAAGAGAAAGTCTCGTCGAATGTGATCGAGACACTAGAGAGAAATTTATATTTTTTAAAAGTTAAATTTAGCTTCTTTCGAGATTATTTCATACTTGTCACTTAGATTTTCATTGAATACGAATGTTTTTAATGTACCATTTAACTTTCAATCGACAATGAACAATTAATTAAAGGACATCATTATAACCACATGGTTAACCATAAATTATGACTTGATAACACATTTTTCGAAGAACATTCAATAGCCTTACATTATCCAATTCCCATTATTCCAATAATCATTAATCTCTAGCCATCTGCTGTTGAAACATTTTAATCGTCAGTTTCATCATCAATTAGTCATTCGCACATACATTATCACCAAGTTTCACACACTTAAATTTTAATGACACGTTCATTCAGCGACGAAAAATAAATCTCTAAAAAGGACTCTTGGACAATTGCCCGACCACTGCGGGATGGGTGTGCATATAACATCTTTAATATTTCGACAACATTTCTAAGTTGTGTGTCAACTTAAACGTGAGTCTGCCAAGTGGCCAGTTTAACTGAAAATGTCTTATCATTTCGATTTTTAAAATAAGCCTTAACTTACGAATAGAAAGAAAACAACAACTTTGAGCTTTTTTGAATGATCATCGAGGATTCGTGAGGGAAAATATATTATGAACCAGGACAGGAGTGTGGACAGACCCCCATATAAAAAATGAGAGAATGTCTGCAGAGAAGATAGCCCTCAAAGTAATTAAACAATGATGCGGAAGAACTGAAGCTTCTTTAATACCCAAGATCTCGTGACCCAACGATGCGATTTGGATGAACGAGAGCTCATCTTCAAGTTTAAAAAAATATCTTGAAAATGGAAAAAAAAATCTGAAATTTCACTCTGCCGATCTCGAGATATTGACAATTAAAGACGGTTCAGTTTTCCGTGATCTGCGGCAAATTCGCATTTTCAGTGTTTTAGGTCTTTTGAAATATTTCGGAATCTGTGGCAGATGGAAATTCTGTCCAGACAGCTTTACCTCCCATAGACTCTGATACACCCACCGAAAACTAAAATTGACTACTCGCAATTCCATCACTGAACCCTTTCTCCATCCATTTTTATTCAATCATTTAGAACAAACATGGCCGAGTATTCAATCCTCCCCTGACCCCTTCCCCCTGTCGATATTTACCCGACTCTTTTGTTTGTCAATCCGTAACCCACTTGAATCCAATCATTATTCCCATGTGTACTCATCGTTAAAATCTCCTGACGCTTCAATTTAACTTTTAATCCTCAATGTTTTTGAATTAATCCTCAATCCCTCTACCATAATGTTTACTCATCGGGCATGACAATAAACTTGTACATTGGCAGGAGTTTTCCATTAATCATTAAAAATTAAAAATTAAACTCCCATTCAGTTTCATAAGCGACAGCATGCAGACATCATTCCATATCCATTACCTCGAAATATCGAACGATTCTTTACTCTCACCATTTTATCATCTTATGCTCATCGTTTTCCTCGCTTTATTCATTCTCTCTTATTTTTAAAATTTTTTTTATTAAAACGCGACGGAGCAACTGGACTAGCCTTGCGGACTAGTTTGCGGTCTGCGCAAGCGCGCTGGGCCCAGTGAGTCTGGAGCCTCTCGGGTCCCGGTTCAATAAACATTTCAATCCTCGCTGAATAAAAAATTAAAATAATTCATTTCCCAATAATCGATCATCATCATGCAGGAGACTTACAATATTATTGACGTAGAGTTTTATATCGCGTGGGAAAACGTGAAATATTGTATTCACCAGAATGGAGTCTAGCCCACGTGGGAACGAGGACCAATCGAAATGGCGGAGGGATGAAACTGGCGGGAAAAGATTGCAATCTGATTGGTCAAGCGAATTTCCGCATCGGGGATTCCCATGTTTTCATGAACTTCATGAATTGACATAACCTTTTGCGTTCAGGCAAGTGAGGTTCGAGTTTTATTCAATACAAAAGGTCGTATGTGCCATTTTCAGAAGATACCGCGTATTAGTTTTAGACACACGATGTTGCAATTGAATGTGAACATCTAAATCTTGTTTTCGATGCTTGGAAAGATATGAAACCTAGTCCCCATGGGAACGAGAACCACTCAAAATGGCGGGAAAAAATTGCAATCTGATTGGTCAAGCGAATTCGCGTGTCGGGGATTCCCATGTTTTTATGAACTTTATGAATTCGTACCTTTTGCGTTCAGACGAGTGAGGTTCAAGTTTCATTCAAGACAAAAGGTCGCATGTGCCATTTCCAGCGAATACTCCGTATCAGTTTTAACCACACGATATTGTAATTGAATCTGCACATCTAACTCTTGTTCTCGACGCTGCAGGAGTCGATAATAGCGATTTACATGAGCTCGGACTCGTGGAGCGTTAAAAGAACGTTCAATTGACTCCAGCCTGTCGACATCGAATTGGGAAATCTCGCGTGAGGGGTTATTTATTGGACTGGGCCCCGAGTTGTTTTTTGGGTCGCTATTGGCGTTCAAACGTCATACTTTTGGCCCAGACATATTCACTGAGCCTGTGCGCTTGGATCGCACTGCAATAGTCGCACTATTGACGGATCGCTCTTAGCACCCTCAATGAACTCCTCCAGGGACAGTTTACCGTCTTTATTTTTATCCATTTGCCGGAATATTTTGTCTGTTCTTTTCTCCGGGGTTGACTCGTCCTCCGGCATTTTCATCACTGTACCCACCATTTTGTAAATTGCCTGGAAATAATGGATGAGAAATTGGTTAATTGGGCAAATTCAGTTTGAGGGGACAGATGAATTGTTTCCGAGAATTTGATGATTTTTCGGGGGTGGAGGAGCTGGAAGTCGTTTCAGTCTATTGTTTCGGAGAGCTTAATTTGGTGGAAAGTTTGGGGTGGGGAAGTAATTTATTCATATGAAATTGATGAAGTACTCGGGGGAGGGGGGGGGCGGAGTTATTTGTCGGAAAACAAGGGAGTCGATTTCAGGGAAAATCTAATTTCCAATCGAGAAAAATTAAAATGAAATACAGAAGAGCTTGACTACATTTAAAAGAACATTATTTTGTGGAGAATTTCAATCAGTGCTGGAAAGGTCAGATAATTTTTTCCCGTAGCATCACTCATCACCGAAATGATTGAATAATTGAATATTAAGAAAAGGAATCATTATTTGATGCATATATCTTCCCGACGTTTTATAGGAATTGTGAAACGTTTCCCAACAAGTCCATTCTATAATCTCTCAATACTTTGTCTTTTCATACAGAATTTAAATTTCCAAAGTCCTCTTTTTCCTCTAAAATCACTCATTATACCCCGAAAAAATATCACAACTAATTTATTAATTTCTGATCAGTTGTTCATTTTATCAAACAAAATCGCTTCCATCAATCGAAAAAACCATTACGTTCATGAGTGTATATCCACACGCTCGAGCGTGTGTTCGAACTTGTTGATTTTCCAACCGGAATGTAAATTAACGATAAATTAATACCCCCCTGCCCCCATTACCCATTCAAATGTCCCGAATTCCGGTCGGACTACAATATGAATTGATGAATTCAATTGATTAAAACAATGTTCCAACATACCGTGACAATCTCCAACATTTCCTGGCGTGAAATGTATCCATTGCCATCGAGATCGTACATACTAAAGGCCCACTTCAATTTCTGTTCCAATTTACCCCGGGATGTGACACTCAGTGCGCACAGGAACTCCCGGAAGTCAATCGTCCCATCGCCATTAGCATCGAATGTCCTGAAGACGTGTTCTGCGAACTAGTGGAGAGGAAAAATAAGATTTTATATCCCGTGAACATGTGGTGAAAATTAACGAGATGGAAATTGTGAAATTATCCGTTTCATTATATTTACCTTGGATGCATCACCGTAGGGGAAAAAATTACCGTAGATTTTCTTGAATTCCTCGACACTCAGATGCCCACTCGGACAATCCTTCAAGAATCCTTTGTACCATTCTTGAATTTCTGCATCTGTGACGGAAAAATTGTCGATATAAACAATGAAAAAATTTCCCTAATTTAACCTTGATGTTTGATGTTGAATTAGCATGGTAATGAGGCTCTCCAAGAGAAAAAGCCATAAAACACTTTTTGTGTAGAATTTCATGAACTACAAAAACGGTCATATGAAATTTTTTCCTAGAACCAATGGTTTTCAAGTTCAACTGATAATTCTAAAGACATCAAAATTCGAGAGTAGAGCAAAATGAATAGTCTTTCAAAACGAATACAGAAAATCCATGATTTTGCTTCCGAGTGAACGCATTGTATAATTGTTCAAATGAATCCAATCATGCTTTAATATTCTTCTCAATGCCATCTTGACTGAAAAAATTTATTTAGAAACTAATATTCAGGGAAAGGTGAACAAATTTAACGTTGAGGCGTTATTGGGTGGCAACATTGGGGCAATGTTGATTTTAATGAATCATTAAATTCAATTTAAAATACATCGTCATAAAAATTCTATCCGAAAGCAATTTCTCACTTGTATTAATTCCCAAGGTATTATTTGAACCTTGAAAATGAGCCCTGACTCATCCGAATTGCAACATTACCTCAGACCATATAAAAGATCAAAAGACCATGATTTTGCATCCCTCTCTGAACCCATTTTTATTCAAATAATAAATACCAGAAAATTCCGTATTCTGTTTCAGATCCTCAAGCACTTCAGGCTTCAGTTTGCTGTTCTGTTTGCCCATGTTGGCTCACAGCCTCTCAATGCAGTCCCGTGAATCCTCAGTATCCTCCCACGCTTTCCCTTTAACTCCACAATATTCTCCTCAATTTTCTAAAAACCTATCTAAATTAATGTTTAATTTAAGAATACAGTGATGCACTACTTTGTGTGACCGGTCACCATGCACCAGGCACCTCCCTGAGAACAAGAAAATTAACGAGACAAGAAATCATGTTTAGTCACTGCCAGGGGACAGAATTTTGTCACTCGGATTGAGAAAAAAAAAAGATAAAATCGATGATTGTTTTCATCTCTATACTAAGTAATTTAAGAAAGGCCAGGTGGCATTGGAGAAATAGTTAAGACTTGATTAAATTGTCACGCCGACGTTTCGCCAAATTATTTCTGCAAGATCCCCTGACCTTTCTTAAATTAATAGATAAAATATTCCCTCGTATTATTCATCGCAAGAACACATCTGCTCACACAGTCACCCAAAAACCCACAACATTCACACAAATCTGAAACAAAAAGAGAAAATGCGTTAGTCAATGATGACCAAAGGACAATAAATGTATACTTGGAGCATAGTGCGATTTATTTATAATAATTATGGTAACGATAATGTAGGTTGGCTCATTGCTGACGTAACTCGTCTTATAATCCTCGACCCACATACAAAATACGAGATTTATTTGTTCTTCCTCTTCCTCCCATGTTCTTGTTTTATTTTTTGATTACTCAAAGTCTGTGGTAAATAGTCGTTATTAATGTGTACAGTATTATTTAATTATCGTTAATGTAGCTTTTGTTCTCATCGGATACATGAATGCAGGGTCATTGAACACACCAGCAGCCATGTGTACAGATATTTTGAAATTAATATCACGAAGTATTCAATAATCTTTAAATGAAAACTGATGATTGTGGTGATTGCATCAAGCTGTTAAACATATTCGTACTTCAGCTCGATGGATAAATTATTTCAGACACTCATTTCATTGCATAATATCGTCATTTCGCTTTTGATAGAGAATGTTGGGAACCTGGAACTGGAGTTCGTTTTTAAGAGGCCTAGGGAGTGGAATAAAAACTACTGAAATGCGGAGAAACCTTTCGGTGTGAATTCTGAGCCAAGAGAGAATGAAAAAAATCTGAAGGATTGCTGGATGAATTTTTTCTAGGGGCCGGATGGAACGAATTGGAGATGTCAGGGTTGGGTAGCATACGATCGATGTTTTTGACATTTGATTCATGTATTATACATGCAGATGGCAATTTTAAGATGAAGAATTTAAAGAAATGTTTGAAAATCCGAGGTGGTTGACAGGCCTGGACGCCGTCATCTTGCTTTCCTGCCGCAAGGGGCTTCCAAGATGGCGGCGCCTTCACCTCGTATTTTCCAACATTTTTTAAAATTATCCATCTTCTTCAGATCACCCTCAACCCACTCCACCCAGTTTCTATAAAAGGAAAGAATTTTTTAAGCCGTTTTTCAGATCTTTCCTTCCCCTTTTGGCTGAGGATTCATGCCGAAAGGATTCGCGGTCTCGAGGCCTCTCAATCATTATTTAATGAGTCAACTGAACGAATCAGTGACGTGAAATGACACTTGGAAAGTTCAACCTTATATACTGATCTAAAATCCCTAACATCCTCAATCAAAAACTTCAGTTACCCAACTCTAAATACCAAACAGAATAATAAACCTGGCGCCTATTGATTATTGCATCAGCTCAACACAGACTGGCATTTCACGATTTAAATACATATATATAATGAATGAATTGATCTCTATAATCAGTATAAATCCATTCATTACTGTCGTCGACAAAAGGGAAGAGAGAAATAGTACAGCTAACTGGATAAAACAAAAAGCCCTTGTATTAAATGTAACGCCCGTTATGACTGGTTACATACGTCATCAAGTCAGATCAATCTCGTTTTATCCATAAACAATATTCTCGAATATAATCAATATTTTTTGATCTCTCTATTTTTTTTCTTCAATTCAATTCTTCTGTACTCTCTCTGATTTTTAATTTAAAACGACGGCCATGCGTCAATTCTCTACACGACTTATACAAACGTACTCTTAGAATTCTAAACTAGACAATTGTTTCTTTATACGAACATACGTATGCACCAGATTTTTATCATTATTTGTATCCCCCATTCTCTTTAGAATTTCCATAAGCACACTAGCGCATCGCACAACTACGGAGGATTATTGCATTCGTTATTCGTTTTCTTCTCGGGACAGATATCACAAGAATGGAGAAGAACTATTGTTACCGCGTCCTCGAGGCTTTCCTCATTTTATTCTTTATCTTCTTTCATCTCTTTTTCTCACTTCATTAATATTCCATTACAGTTTTTTTCGCCCCTTTCTTGCGCTTGAAAAGTGGATTCTGATCCACTGGGAGACAGTGAATAAAGTTAGCAGAGAGTTTTTTTTTTTGTTTAATTTCGCAGTGTTCGATGGTGAATATTCAAAACTTGAGATTAATTACAGTTAATGGATTTTAGTTATTTCAACATTTCTTGGTTAATGAAAAATAATCTTATCCGGTTATTATGCATCGATTCAGTGATTAATTGTATCTAACATTAATGGAATTATTTAGAATCATAAACTATATCGTAAACTATACCCTATAAATATATACGTTTATATATAATATATAAAATGACTTTATCAACGGTGCAACGGTGAATAAATGCCTCAATTGGTTACTGAATTGTTAAAATTCGGGTAACTATTGAACTGACTTAAGGGATGAAGCTGAAGGTAGCGAAAAATTTGGAATGCGGAAGATTCGATTGTGGCGAATCTAAGGATATAAAACAGTATATTATGTCACACGGCGATAAAAGTATTATCTGACTGATGTGATTATAACTGATTTGTTCATACAATTGTTTGATGCTTAAAAACCCCTTAAATTTAATTTTCCGCCGTCAAATAGTCCGCTAGTTTCAGCTGCATCTTTTAAGAGACCTTGGCAGTTAGAAAAAATGACTAAAGTCCCGGAGAAAACATTGGGCCATGAATCATCAGCCAAAGGGGACTGGAAAAATCTGAAAAATGGCTTGAAAAATGGTTCCGTTTATCGAATTCGGATGGGACGAGTTGAGGGTAATTTGAATATGATGAATAATTTTAAAAAAATTTCGAAAACGTGAGGTGGTGCTGGCGCCAGCAGACGGACGGGTGCCCAGCCAAGATGGCAGCGCCCACTCCTGTCCATCACCGCGTATTTTCGAGCATTTCGTAAAATCATTCAACTCGTTTCGTCCAGTTCTTCAAGACAGAGTTGATTCTTTCATCCCTTTTTGACTCAGAATTCATGGTCCAAAGTTTTCCCGGAATTCAGTACTTTTTTTCCAACTTTCAAGACCTCAATGGATTTAAATTAAATTCAATGATTATTTTCATCACAATGAGAGCTCTGGAAAATATATTATTCAGCTGAAAGGTAGAAAAAGTGTTTCAACTACTGACATTCAAGCATTAAAAATAACATTTGTCTTCAATTTAATGAAGAGAAATTAAATTATAATGTAGTTAACAACATTTACGATGATGAGAGTGGACTTTAGCTCTTGCTTTGTGATGATTGGATGAAGGAACAAGCTATTCTCTGACGGATGGATCTGCTGACAATACCCTAGGTGCTTGCACCCTGCAGTACTCGAGTTACATTTTTTTCGTCAAGAGACGGTTGAGAGAAAATATAAAACGATAATACTTTCGAGAGTAAACGGAGGACCATTTGAAAGAGGATGAAAAGGGGTGTAGGTGGGGGATTTTAATTGAATGGGACACGCAGATAGAAAGAGGGAAAGGGGGGAATGAGTCGAGGAAAGGACAGCACGGGAAAGTAGAAAAATATAAAAATTAGGGGGTTAACGGGAGACTGACTCCTTTTTACTTCTCGTGTCTATCGTTTTCTGTTTTTTGGTTTTTTATTTTGGGAAAATTCTTTCCCTCTTTCCTTCTGGGTTTTCAGATTTTTAAAACTCGTCTCTTGGCAGACTCGGTGATGCGTTTATTCCCGTGAATTCAGGGAAAATAAGTGGATTCTGGTGGTGCACACGGATTTTATTGATTTTAAATTTATCAATGTCCTCTCGTAACTCTGGTCGAAAATCCAGGGTAACGTTTTCAGATCGATACAGCAATATTCTAGGGAGCTTCCATAGCCCCTGTTACCTACTTATTCCTTCATCCCAGTCTCACCCACTTAATGGTTTTTTTTTCTTCTCCACACACTCGCCTACTTTGTTTTGAAATTCTTCTCGAGGGAGTTTTGCCCTCTTTTTTGGAGGGGGGGGGGGATTTGGGGATTGGGAATTCCATTTTCGACATTTATCTTTCGTCACGAAGGTATGAAAATTTACTATTTCGATTGTCAATGCTTGACTTTCTATTCGGTGAGAAACATTTTTCATTTTGTCTCGATGAGGTTTATCTGATGAATTTGGTGGTGGCTTTTCTTGTTTTTTTGCAATTCAGGGGAGACTGCGGTGAGTTTTAAAGATGCTGGGAATTGGATCTATCGTACCTATGACTTTGGTAGCTATTTTTTACACTTCAAAAATTAGAAAAAATCAAGTTTCAATTTTTTACAATGACTTGGATTTTGACTTGAATTTTGGTTTCCACAGACGTAATATATTGACGAAAAAATTGTGAGTTTTTCAAAATTTCAACTTTTCGATTTTTTTCCTCAGAATTGGTAGAGTTTTGTAAAATGAACGATAAAAAAATGAGAAAAAAAATGTAGTTTATTGATGTGTCATGGTCTTCAAAAATCGACAAATTGGAATTAAAAGAAAAACATTTGTCTCGTCGCTAAGGGGACAATTTTGAAAATTTTATGCCCGTAGAACCACATATCGTCGATGAAAAAAATTTAAACTCGACTTTTTCCCATTTTTCGGGTAAAAAACATGGGACAATCCTCTGTCTCTCAAATTTCCCCGCGCTCTCCCCTTAATTTTGTGAATTCTCTTGGGCTTCAGGCGTTAATCACATGTTTGCCTTTGTTACAATTGTTCACAATTAATTCAATTGTATTTTTTAAAATTTTTGTACGTTAGATGACATTAAATAGTTTCTGATTTTCCTCATTTACTTTAAAATTGACTTTACTTGATATTAAGTACTCGAAGCGTGTACGTTAATGGAGTTAATAAAATTCTTCGTTAGTCACTAGCTATTTATGAGTTTAGTGTGACAATGACGTCGGACATATTGTTCCGCGGTTTGTCCAACGTGAGAATGCACCAATGATATGTGTCTACGACTACAATAATGTGCCCCACCTAGTTTAAGAGTGTTTTTTTTTCTTCGTTCTCGACCGGCGAATTGTCTCCGTACGGAGAATAGCGTGACGAATATAGGTATTAATGAACCGAGATGAACAAAAGGAGTATGATGATCGAAGTGGTGTAACTTAGTGACATTGATTCGGAGAAAAACACCCCCTGCGGTAATTGAGTTTAGAAAGAATGATCGGGGCGAGGGAAAAACGAGACGCGGTATTAATGTGAGCCAATTTCGCATGACCGAGTTAACACGAGAGAATCCTAGATTATAACATGCAATTGGTCAAAAGTCTATCGTCTATGAAGGCGTCAAGTTGAAAATTTTTATTTCAGGGAATGAAAAATTGTTCGATTAATCGACAGCTTGTTTTCACTGGTGATTATCTCGATGACGAGTGGTTCTACGAGGAAATGTCAAAAAATCATTTTTATGGGGAATTCAATTTCCCACAAGAAATGTCCAGTGACATTATTCTCTAGAACCACTAGTTACCGAGATAATCAACGATTAAGATTGAACAATGTCTTTTCTGTAAATCCGAAGTGGTAGAATGGACTTTCTTAAATCCGCAACATCTGCCGACCAAATCATGCGATTTATTTATTTTCAGATGAATAAAATTTCATTCTGAAACCGACAAAAACACCTCCAAAACTAAATAAAAATAGTCCAATTGATTAACTGTTAAAAACAGTCCATTCTACCCCCTCTCCCTGATAATCGAAACAACTTCCTCCCTTAATTTATCAAATACTTATCGATGGTTAGTTACGCCGACTCACCCTCCCCTCTCAGTCCCTTAATTAAACACGCAGATGACGATTAAAACGCCCAACAATCCTGCGTATCTAAAAATACAATTTAAAACGAATTGTTCAGCAGAATTGAGTCCTTTCCGGTGTGTCGCCCCCGAATAATAGTGTAGGGTACATAGATCATTTACGCTGATCCTTATTAATCGATTAACCCACCACGGATTGACCTTTTCACTGGGTATGATAAAAGAGGGGAAGGGGTATAGTGCTACCAGATGAGGATTAAACGCACCGGATATCTCGATCGACTAAAACATAGTCACACCATTATCGAGTTATATATGTACTCAACTCGTAATCAGTACCAAGTATCCACTTAATATCGTTCTACTCCCAATTACTACTATTGAATAACAATTTCCTATACATTTTTTATCATATCAAACACTCGTTAAACCCGGCATTTTCATAATCAACAGATAGTTCGGTGAGGAAGTGGTAAAATGTGATTGCACGAGACGATTTTCAAGGTTTTGATGATTGAGAAATTATCGCGGTAATGAGTGGTTTGACGGAAAAAACGTTTAGATATTTTTCGTTGGAAATTTAATCAGCTACAAAAAAGGTTTTACGACATTTCCCTCCAAAACTGGTAGTTTTCGCGATAAATGCAGAATAGTAAATGCATAATTCATGAAGTAATGAAAAATGTGAAGAAAGCGATTTCTTGCACCTCATTAACTGTTGAATTATCTCAATAACGCCTGATTGTAACAAAAAATGTTGTATGACATTTTTTGTAGGAAATTTAATCACCTACATAAGAGGTTTTATGACATTTCCCTATAAAACTTATAGTTTTCTTGATAAATGCAGAATAGTAAATGTATAATTCATAAAGTAATAAAAGACGAGAAGAAAACGAATTCTTACATTCCTTCAACGGCTGAATTATCTCAATCGCGAGTGGTTGTACCGAAAAATGTGATAAATCGTTTTTGTGGGAAATTTCATCACCTGCGAAAAAGGTTTAGGGCAATTCTCCTCTAAATCCACTCATTCCCCGTGTAGATCGATAACTACCAAAAACTCAATCGCCTCATGACGATGTACTTCTCTAAAACCGCAATAATATATCCGATAAAATTCCCCAATCAATGAAACGTCTCACCCGATATAAATAATGAACTCAACAACCCAGGATTGGAAAAAAAAATGAAATAAGATCGATAAACGAGCAGGCGAAGCCTAGAACCGAGACCCGATTGATATCATTTTCTCCGAGGCTCGATACCCAGCAACAGTGACACGAGTTGAATAATATCAATTAGCAGCGAATAGCATTTACTCCTTAATAAGTATTAATCTGTTCATTAGTAGCATAAGGGAAGTTATTACTCATGTGAGTATTCGAAGCGTGAATTCACTTTGTCTTTCTTTCGTCAACCGAACGCTATTTTAACGGATATTGGGACGTGAAAATAGTCACGTCTGAATGGAGCTCAGCCACTTCAATTTCAGAGAAAGAAAAATTTCTCAGTCAATGGACAACTCGTTTTCATTGGCAATTATCTCGAGAATGAGTCATTCTACGAGAAAATCTCACTGAATCTTTTTTGTGGAGAATTCAATTTCCCACAAAAAATGTTTACTGACATTTTTGTCTAGAACCACTCGTTACCGAGATAAGTCACGATTAAGATTGGACAATTTCTTCTTCGCAAATTCGAAGTGGCAAAATAGACTTTCTTGAATCAGCAATATCTCCTGACCGAACGACGGGATTTGGATGAGACAAATTTCATTTTGATGCGCGAAAAAACCCCCCCAAAATGAAACATGAATCGTCCAATCCCAATCCATTTTACCCCCTCGAAACAATGTTCTCCCTTAATTTATCAAATACTTATCGATGATTAATTGAACCATGAATACTTGAAATGTTAATTCACTCCGTCTTTCTATCGTCAACCGAATGCTTTTTCAATGGATATTCAGACGTGAAAATAGTCACGTCTGAATGGAGCTCAGCCACTCCAGCCACTGGATTCTGCTGACGCAACCATTACTTTAAATTGTCGAGGAGGAGAGCGGGGGGGGGGGGGAATTGGGG